AATAAGGGAAACCATGGGACCTATGTTTCTTTGGGCCTGGCTTACTTCACTTAATATAATTTTTTTTCCAAGTCTTTCCATTTCTTAACAAATAGGGAAATCTCATTCTTTCTATGTCTGAGCCAAGCAGAAACAATCAGATAAGTTGATGTTAGGCGAAATGAACCCCAAGATAAGGACCCAAATGGTTTTTCTTTCTTGCTATTGGTTCTAACATATTTATAAGATGATTTCTTTGTTGCTCTGTATGTCCCTACCTCACGGTATAACCCTGTTTTCACTGTATTTGATGTTGGTATAATTTGTGGAGGGGAAGGGAAAACAATTAAATAGAGATACAGGTGGATCCATTGCAACAATGAGATGTACAAGACATTATGTCGAAAAACAAACTTTACAACTTTGGTAGGGAGTGGGGAGGAGATGGGAAAGAATGGTAAGGGGAAATAGAGGAGGAGGCAACAATGCTTAATAAGAAATGTACACATTACTTTGCTCATGTAATTGTAACCCCTCTGTACGGTATTTTCACAATTAAAAAAAAGAATCTGTACTTCTGTATAATACTAACAGAGAACAGTTTAAAATTTTATAAGTAGAAAACAAAGGCAAAACCAGAAAATATTAGACAGAAATATTTTCTAGGGTTTTGTTTTTCATGGGATTGTCCAGAGAAGAACAAAAACTGCAATGAAAACAACCCTTAGTAACCATGGTTAAAACTTGGAAATAAAAATCAGTTAACAAAACGGTGTAGCTTTTTCGTTGCATGCAAAAGTCTAGGATAATCCATCAGCATCAATACACTCTTATTATAATTGAAAACACACATATGCCTATGAAAATATCACTGACAATATTAGTTAGAGGACATCAGCTAGGTAAAAATTTTGTCCCAACCTTTGCATTTAAGACTTGTACTTTGGTGGCTCAGTGGTAGAGCGCTTGCCTTGCATGCATGAGGCCCTGAGTTCGATTCCTCAGCACCACATAAGCAAAAAAGAAAAAAAACGGAAGTGGCGCTGTGGCTCAAGTGGTAGAGCGCTAGCTTTGAGCTGAAGAGCTGAGGGACAGCGTCCAGGCCCAGAGTTCAGACTTCACGACAGGACCAAAAAAAAAAAAAAAGACTTGTACTTTATGGAAGGAGCATAAGTACATTTAACATACAAAGGCACCAGCAACAATTACCATAATAGGTATAATTATGTCACATATACACATTCATTTCATTTCTATTTTTCAAATAAAATTTAGAATCTTTGGCTAAGTTAAAATGATAGGGGTACATCAGTGACATAAGTCAGAATTTTAAAGTTCTCACAAGTTAGGGGAAAACAATTCTAGTGACACCAAACAGATACAATTTCACTTGTTTACTTAAGACAAAGGCTAAATTTATTCAGTTATTTAAAATATACAAATGGTTGTTTAAAAGAGGGGTAAATTTTAATATGTCCAGTTATGTATACAGTGCATCTGGATCAGAATCATTACTTTCATTATTCTCCCCCTCCCATTTATCCCTTCCTCCAATAGTCACACCACATTTTCCATTTCCTTCCTCTGATTTGCAGATCTCATTTTCTTTTTATATAGAGCTGTAGCACCAAAAATTTAGTGCCCAGACTGATTTTGCTCAAATCTTTCCTCACTGCATAAGTCTGTGTATCACCTGGTCATAGTCATGTTCTACTTCTTTCCTCTCTTCAGGGAGATACTTGACAGGATTTAGAGAAGAGGATGGTATGAGTTGGACAGGTATCTTTTCCAACAGCAAGGCTTGGTATTGGCGAAGCCTGCTTCTTTTAGAGGCTAGTATCCCTATCATATTATGAAGAGTGTACACAATCAGGTCCTTCTCAGTACGTGTTTAGTTGCCTTGTGGAGTAGAAGGGCCATGGCTGCCAAAGCCTTTAGAAAGGTTGACCATCCCTTGACTAAAACATCTTGTATTGCTGGTTGCCAGTGGCTCACGTCTGTAATCTTAGGTTGAGATCTGAGGATTGCAGTTTGAACCAGTTGAGGCAAGAAAGTCCATGAGACTTTTATCTTCAATTAAGCACCGAAAGTCTGGAAGTGGAATTGTGGATCAAGTGGTTGAGTGCTAGCCTTGAACAACAAACAGTGCTCAGGGACAGTGCCCAGGCCCTGAGTTCAACTCCAGGATTGCACACAAAAAAGTGACTAAGTAACTAAATAAAACCTCAGGTACTTTATTAATGTACCCTACTTGTTCTCAAGGTTGGATAAATAACCCTGAGGCTACCTCATTCCTCTCATGGGCAGATAGGTTAAAGATTTATGCAATCTGGACGGACACATAAAGGCATGTGCTTGCAGAAGAGCCTATTGAAGTTGGTCAGAGACCTGTTATTGTATTGGTCGCATTTTACAAATTGAGTTTGTGAATTGTGAGTCTCTTTGATTCCTTGATTCAGGGGTAAAGCCATTTCCCAACACTAAAGAACATAACCAACATAACCCGTGATTCCCCAAATCTCAATTGCTTGAGTGTCCATGGGGTTGGGAAATATCATGGTAGAATTTAGTCTGTCTTCTCCCAACTTTCAAGTTCATTTACTAATGGCCCTAGATATTTAAGTTTCTTAACAGAATTGTGCGGTTGCCCTTGACATCTTACAACCTCTGTCTGCCAAGAAATTGGACAATTCCTGAGTTTCCATTTGGCAGTCTCTGTCTATATAGTCTTTCACAAAAAGTATGTCATCCATATAGTGAACAACAGTGGTTTGGAGATGCTTGAATAAAACCAAATCTCAGCTAGACTCTGGCCAAACAAGAGAGAACTGTCTCTGAATCCATCAGGCAAAATGATGCACATCACCTGAATAGATTGGTTAGAGGGGTCCTCAAAAGTAAATGGAAATTAGAAGTCAAGGTGTAAAGGAATGCAAAAGAAAGAATCCTTTAAATCTATAACTGAAAAGCATTCAGAACTTTCAGGAATCTGAGACAACGAGGTAGGGATTTGGAATGAAAGTTGCCACTCCCTTGCTAATTAACCTAAGGACTTGCACTAACATCCACCCTGAGTTTAGTTTCTGTATCCCTTGGATTGGAATGTCACAGGGGCTGTTGAAAGGCTTTAAAAGCCTCTGTGACTTGAGATTGTCCATTGGATTTTGCGATGCTTTCTTGGTTTCAGGTTTTAATGGATCCTGCTTCTAATATGGCAAGACAGATGTATTTCTTAAATGAATTTGTACAGGTGACACCACTAAGCCCTACCAATTTTGCCTTGGGAAGCCTATACCTCAGGATTTCTGTCACCTCTACAGATGAAGAGATGTTACCCTGGTTCAACAAGGATAGACTCCCCATACTGTTAGGTTGTTTGTTAAAGGGAGTCCTAGGTTCAAGAAAAGAATAGAATACATATAGTATCGAGTAGGAAGTCAACATCCTCCTCTCCTATGATCAGGATGACCCAAGACTCCACGTTGCAGATGTCAGGCATGAATAGGCATGAGAAAGATGAAAAACTGCACAGAATGAATGAGTAGGGCTCAAAGTATATAAAACACAATTTTTGAAGAGATATATGTGCATTAAAATTGGCTATAATTTATAATTAAATTTTGGAGTTAGTACATTATTTTGGTTAATGATTTTAGGAACTTTTATAAATTTGTCCTTAATAAAAATCCTTTCTCATCTAAGAACATTTTTCTTTTCTTTTTCCAAAACATATCCTCACACTTTTCAACATTTAAAATCTAGTGCTTGCTGTGTCTACAGCATTAGAACATCAACAACTCCCAAATTATGAATTCAGATATTTTTTTCCAATAAAGTATTGTTAGTAGACTTATATCCATATTTAGCAGTGCTGAGAATTTTTTGCTTTTGGTTATGTATTATTTGTATCAGTGTGTGAAAATTTGGAGGATGGATGAACAGTTTTTACCTTCCTTTCCAGAAAACTCACTTTTCAGAAATTTCTTTCTGTTGATATAAGGGTATGTATGGTCTTTCTAAAATTTCCATTTTCTTATAGTCAATCCTACCCTTCAGTACCTTCATAGAACCCCAGTGAATGGAATTCAAATAGTAATTATCTGCCAGTATTTAAATTCCTTGATCTCTCAGTCCTTGAATGGTTCTTTCCAGAATGCATAGTAAGAGATCATATCTGTTTTAGTTCCGATATTATATATATATATATATATATATTCATATTTAGATGGGTTTTTTTGAAACAAAGCTTTCCTTTCTTACTGGAAGTTCATACATATCATCCATGTTAAAGAAACTTTGGACGATGGATACAAGCATTGAAGCATGGATAGAAGAAAGGAGAATAACATCTTGGAAGACCAGAGTTTGAGCCTGGATATGGAGATAAAGTGTCAAGGATAAAGCTTATTACCTTTTTTTTGGGGGGGTAGGGACAAGAACAACTGAATGGTAGAAATGGTCAGATCCAAAAAATAGAGAAAAATTGGGAAGAATAATAAGAGAAAAAATTTAGATAGATGAGTAATATCCAATTGGAGCTCAGAGAAAACATAGAAACTAGATGATTTTGGAATAAGATCGTAGATATTTGTTATTTAAAGACAAAAAACAGCTGTTTTCTTTCTTTCTAAAATTTAGGGCCACACTTTCAGAGTAAATGAGATTATGTCACAGTCTTATTACTTTCTCTTTAAATGGCCTCCCCCCATTGGTGAAATAGTTCAGGCCATAAGGGTGTGGCAATAACTCAGAAGCATTATTCTCTCACTTCCTGCTCAAATGGAAAATTCTAGTGAAGAATTTGGTTGCCATGTAACCTCTCATAAACTGAAAACAGCACCTTTTCCTCTCAAACATGGCAGCTTATAGCATGGGCAGATATTTCTGGTGATATTAAAACCTGGAAAAGCCTGGAACGGATGAGAGTAATGGTGGATAGTGAAGAGAAGCTGATGTAGAAGTGCCTACAGACCACTTTTGTGCTGAAAGAACAGGAATCTAATATGTCATTGAAAAAAAAAATGGATGAAGACCAATGGGACCGAGCAGGGATGACCAGAGAAATTGAGGTAATTCATACTTGTTTAAATGATATAGCTAGGCAAATAACTGATCTAAATAAATATATTGAGGTCTTATTTGGGAAAGTATACAAAGAGATTCATAGAGTCTCTTCTAAATTTACGATTTTACAAGAAAATGTGACCCAATTAACTGACGCTATTACTGCTAAGTATCCAAATGAAGGATTAACAATGCAAGTTAAAGAATCAGGAAATACTTTTCCAAGTGCAACTCACCAAATGCAGCAAGTATGCTCCTTTAATTCATTACCTAAGACACTTGAAAGTTACAGTGATGATGTAGAGATGTCACCTGTCACTATGTGTGATTCTTACCACTTGGATGAGATAAAAGGTTTAATTTCTCCTGATGATTCATTCCAATTATGTTCATCAAGCCCCAAGCTTTGGGAAGAAAAGAATATAGCAAAAAGTAAAGGACATAAGAGGGAACTGTTTGTGCAGAACAAGAAGGACACAGGTCACTCCAATGATTCAAAACATATACCACAATTTCAACCAATGGATAATAATGTTCCAGCTGCTTGTGGTAAGGTGTTTCATTCAAATGTCAATCAACCATCTGAAAATTCTACATTTTCCACCACTTACAAATCTAGTACAATTAGCACTCTTCTAACAAGAGCTGTAGGAAAAATGTTATCCAGTGCTTTACACCCAGAGCATGATGCAAATGGAGATAGGGAAAATTCATGTCCTTATGTCAGTTATGAAACTGGAAAGAGAGAAATACAACCCCAACCTCAAAATCATCATCCAAAAACAGAAGTGTTTATAAATCCTAAAGCACCATCCTCATCACCTTCACTACGACTTAAGTGCTTAGCTGGATTGAGAGCTTCAAAGAGGTCAGAAATTCCTGCAACGGTTCAACCCCCAGTTAAACCTTCATTACCTGTTTGGAAACATACAGCAGCAACAACACCAGCAGCAGCAGCAGAATCTGGTTACCTACAATCTATTCCTGATACAGACATTCCAACTACACCACCAAAAGCCAGATTCTATCCCACAGTATCAGAATCTTTTACATATTCTGAACCAAAGGATCAAAATCCACAAGATAAAAGAGTGACTTCACATTTAGAACCTTTTCTTGTTAAAGATCATGTCAACTATGCTTTGTCTGGACGACTACAAATCTCTTCAGTTTGTCAATTGGTATCATCTTCTGTTTCACAGTCACCTTTACTGGGAAAATCAGCAGTGTCTTCATTTCCATCAAAACTCAAGTCTTCACATTCACCATTACCACAAAATTCGATTCTCTCTACATCAGAGTCTTTGATAGAACCACAACCAAAATCTTTAACTTCACAAAGGTCAAATTCAGTTCCAATATCATCAATATCTTCATGTTCACAATCATCAACATCTGCATTCCCATTACCAGAACAAGAATCAAGCCTATTTTCAAGACATTTGAATGAAAAATTAGCAAGTCCTCCAGCTGCAAAATCCACAAGAAATTTGAATCCACAACAATCAGAATCACCGGATTTTAAGTTAGCAGAATATTCCTTTTTACAGTCATTGTTTTCTTCTACTCAAACAACGCCTGCCATTTCAAGAAGAACCAAGAGTCATTCAAGTTCCCAGTATCCACCAAGCAAGTTTTCTTCTGATTTAAAACAACCTCCTCCATCATGTTTTCCAATACTCAGTACAACCAGGAGTGATTTGATGGAAGCAATAAGAAAAGGAACTGTGTTACACAAACCTGAAGATCAGTGTTCACAAGAAGCAAAAGTTAAGCCATTTGAAAATGAAATACGTGTTATCCTGACTCGTCGTAAGGCTATGGGATATAGTTCAGAAATATCAGATAGTGAAAGTGATTGGCTGGAGGAAAAGTAAGAAAATAAATCCAAGCAACATAAAATATCTGTTGCCTTGTTGTATTGTATTTTTCCCTTAGAATTAACCATCAGCTCTGATTTTCCCTCAAGAAAATAGATCAGCCTGAAATCCTCAATATATTACAATTTTTAAGGAGGTCATTTGCTCAAATAAGTATCAAGAACAGAGTACTTTTTACACAACACAGTTTATTTGTGACCATGATGGTTAAATAAGTTGATTATGAATATATTCATTAAAAGTCCATTCAATATAAAAATATTACATATCAGTAAGTGTATCAGCATGAATGAAAATAAGAATTTATACATATTGGCTTATTAGTAGTTCTTATTTTATTAGCATGAAATTTACTATAAAAGGGGGTTGCCTTGTGAATTTCTGTGCATTTGGACAACACATATTCATTAAAATTCATGGTTTATAAAGTTATTTTATTCCATTTCAAATAATGCTTAACCTGAACATTTGAACTGCTTGTCTTATTTATGTGTGTGGACTCCAAAGGCATAAATTAAATTCATAGTTCTGAATATTCCTCAAGGAATAAGTTGAATGAATATTATCATTTTTTTAATTTGCAGGCTTCTTTTATTTGCTGATCCTGGGGGCTTGAATTCAGGGCTTGGGTGCTATTCCTGAGGGCTTTATTTGTGCTGGTTGGGAACTGACTGGGGTTTGAAGCCATCCCAAGCAGGAAAGGCTGTAAGACTCTTCCCTTGAATTTAACGTTAAAAAAGAAGCCCGAAGTGGAACTGTGGCCCAAGTGGTAAGTGTTAGCATTGAGAAAAAAGCTCAGGGACAGTGCCCAGGCTCTGAGTCTAAGCATCAGGACAAGCACAGAAACACACACACACACACACACACACACACACACACACAGAGAGAGAGAAACACACATGGTTACATAGTATGTTTTATATTGTCTCTATAGTATATTGAAAAATTTAAGTAATAGTTTAAGAAATCTAAGTGGAACAAAAATAGAATAAACCTTCCTTTAAAATCCTTCTACATACTTCATAATTAAGCTCGTGAAAATTAAAACTAAAGGAAAAAATCTTAAAATTAGATGATATAGCAAATTTTTATTGGGGAATGACAACAGTAAATTTCTTATTTGAAACCATATAAGAAAGAAGTTATTTCAGAAAACTGTTGTCAAGAATGAATCCTTGGGTTGGAGATTTAGCTCAGTGAAAGAACATTTGCCTAGCAAGTGCATGTTGCACATCCCTAAACTCAGTCCTCAACTATGAAAAAAAGAATGATTTTGAATATGACAGTATACACACACACACACACACACACACACACACGAAGAAAACCCCTTAGAATTTATCTTTAGTAATAAAGTTCTTCAAGCAGAAATGAAATGAAAAGAAAGTAATTTTTTAAATTTTATTATGAAAATATTGTACAGAGGGGTTTCGATTACATGGACAAGATAATGAGTACATTTCTTATCAAGCATTATAGCCTCCTCCTTTGTTTCCCTTTCCCATCCCTTCCCAGCCTCCTCCCCCCCTCTGCAAAAGTTGTAAAGTTCGTTTTCGACATGACAACTTGTACTTCTCATTGTTGCAACGGGTCCATCTGTATCCTTATTTAAATGACTTGTTTTTCCCCTTCCCCTCCACAAATTATACCGACATCAAATACAGTGAAAGCACGGGTTATACTGTGGGGGGGAGGGACATACAAAGCAACAAAGAAATAATCTTATAAATGTGTTAGAAACAAATGCATGAAAGAAAAAAAAACATTTAAATACATATCTTAGGGTTCATTTTCCTAACATCACCTTATCTGACCTTTTCTGCTTGACTCATACATATACTAGATATTTCAAATAAAGGAAACCATGGGACCTATGTTTCTTTGGGCTTGGCTTACTTCACTTAATATAATTTTTTCCAAGTCAAGAAAATAATTTTGTAGTGTTTAAGACAAAAATCTATCACAAGGAACCAAGGTCACTGTGCATTGATCAAGTAAGTGATTGATTCATTAGGAAAGCATAATGAAACCCAACCAAACACTCTTTGAAAAGGGGGGAAAGGAAAGAGAGAAATGAGAATACAATGGAAGAGGTGAATTTAAGTGTAATATATGCATATAATACCACAATGGAACCCTCTCACATTAAAGATATATTTTAGCTCTAAAATAAGATTTAAAAAATAAAATAATTTGATTTTTTAGAAGTGTCTCAAAGAGTATCATGATGGATGAATACAGAAAAGTACTGAAAGGGCTTTAATAACAAAGGTATAATCACATGCTATAGCAGAAGAAAAATAGAGGTTAATTGGAATTCATTGACTTTGGAAAAATTTCAGGTAATATTTTAGAGGGTGAAAATAGTATCATGAACTAAGTAAAACTAGTCTCTGTCCTTGTGGTGTTTAGAGGAATGAAAAAAGGCACACTGTGCTTAATCTTGAAGTAGGTTTAGAAACTTCAAACATTTGTTACTACTATCATTTGAGGTTTATATCGCCTCTTTGCCTAAGACACATATTAACATAAAATGTTCATTTCTGCATTCTACCAAGTCAGTCCTATCTTGCCACTTTTGCACTTAATTTCTTGCCACAAATCTTTTCTGTTTGTGGGTATTATATGGTTTTGGTATTTCTGTTTACAGTTTAGCTTGGTATGCTGTTACTCTCCAACCTACAATGTTCAAATGCAAACTGTCACTACTTTCTTGTTCTTCACCATAAGATCATAGATGTTGAATCTTTCATCCCAAACATTTTACATAGTTCAAGTAATTAATCTACAAAATAGATTTTCATTAATATGACTCAAAGTTAGCAATTTTCCAGATCTGTAAAGAAAGAATTTGTCAACCAAAAAGGAGCTAGATGGTCATCTACTCATTGTACAATAACTGGAAATAGGCAACTCAATTTGATAAGCCATATAGTATTTTTTGACTATTGGTATCTATTTAAAAATTGTTTCAAACAAAACAAGTGAAATAAACAAGTTCAACTAAACCAATTTTTTTTTTACTGTACAAAGAAACTGCTCGTTCTAGCTGGGCAATAGTGGCTCATGCCTGTAATCCTAGATACTCAGAAGGTGAGAGTGGAGCACGTGGTTTGAAGTCAATCCAGGCAGGAAAGTTGTGAGAGTCTTATCTCCAATTAAGTACAAAAAGCTGGAAGTGTAAGTGTGGCTCAAGTGGTATAGTCCTAACCTCAAGTTAAAAAAATGTTCAAGGACACTGAGTTCAACACCCAAGCCCAACATACATACATGTGTGTGCATACACACACCCACCCACACCCCCCCACACACCTGATTTTTCTAATTTCCTGCTATAAATGGTAAGAAAGTTTGAAATCACTAATTGTTATGTTTGTCTAATATGTGTGTTCAAATATATATAACATGTGTGTTTAAAAAATAAACTTGAAATAAAAGTATTAGTGATTAATTATGCTTAATAGACCCCATTTGGATTTCTTCAATGAAACACATTTAAGTAAATATTGATGAACTATACAAGGCATATACAAAAAAGGTCGTATACAAAAAAGGTACAATGATTGCAAATGTATATACACCTAATGTTGTAGTATTCAATTTTATAAAAGACACCATTAGACATGAAGTTTAATAAACTCAAATACATTACCAGCAATGGAATTCAATATCCTAATTTCATCAATAGATCATTCACACAAAATTTAACAAAACACAGCAGATTAATGCCACAAATCAAATGAAGTTAATAGATATTTGAAGAATATGCAATTTAACAACTGCAGAACACATGTTCTTCTCATTAGCACATATTTTTTAGTACAGATAATATTCTAGGCTACAAAATAGTTTGACACATTCAAAATGAAATTACATACTATATATTTGTTATCAAAATAAAACTAGATCATAGTGACAACAGCTTTAAGAGAAACTTCCTAAATGCATGTGTACTCAACAAAATATTTTGAAAGAATAGTGTGATCTGAAGAAAGCAAGATGGAATTTTAAAACAACATTAAACAAATGAAAATGGAAATAGATCATACCAAAGCTTGAAGCAAAAGTAGCACAAAGATACAATATACAAGAGTAACTACTTAAAAATACAAAGATGCCAAAGAAACAACCTAATAATGCATTTCAAGGGCTTAGAAAACAAGAGGAAACCAAACACAACCCTGATAGAAGAAATAACACATTATTGAAAAAGATATTTACAAACAATGCAAAAGACCAAACAAGTTGATAGATGGTAGTCAGTGACAAACTTTAATGAGTGCTGTGTGAAGAGAGGGAAAGAGAAAGAGCAAATAGAATTAGAGATGAAAAACAAGTCATTACATCTGATAACCAGAAAATATGGTTGTAAAAATGGATGTAAATGGAAGATAGTATGTTAAATTAAATATCCCAGACATAGAACGCTAACACAGGATTCCACATAGACCTCCCCCCTATGGCCCAGCAATCCCACTCTTTGGCATTTACCCAAACGATCACAAACAAGGCCATACTAAGGCTACCAGCACAACTATGTTTATTACAGAATTATTTACTATAGCTAAGATATGGAACCAACACAAATGCCCCTCAGTAGATGATAGAGAGAGAGAGAGAGAGAGAGAGAGAGAGAGAGAGAGAGAGAGAGAGAGAGATATGCACAATGGAATTCTATGCCTCCATCGGTAAGAATGACATTGCCTCATTTGTTAGGAAATGGAAAGACTTTGAAAAAATTATATTAATGAAGTATGCCAGACCCAAAGAAACATAGGTCCCATGGTGTCCCTCATTTGCAATAACTAGTACATGTCTAGGACAAGCAGAAAATGTCAAAAGCTATGTACATATGACCATACAAGATGATATTAAGTGAAATGAACCCCAAGATAGTGACAGAAATATTTTTTCTAATTTATGGTTTCTAATTTATTTACAATGTACTATGTGATTTTTTGGTGTGTCTTTGTATGTTCCTCCCCCATGGTATAACC